TAAGAGATAAATAAATAAAAGGATTGACTTCCACATCCAGCTGGAATGCAGAAAGCAAAGTGACATGAACTCATTTGATGACCAATGAATACATCATTTTTTTTCTAAATATAGTAAACAAGATTACTAATTATTTCACTGATGTTGTTATTGTGGTTGTTTATTATTGCATAAATGGTTGACACAAGCAGAAAGAATGAGTGACTATTTTTTCATATTCTGAAAAAGTACTCCACAAATACTTCCAATACATCAAAGTATTCATTTCTTATGCTATGGGATACTGCACAATTCAACTGTACTCAAAGTACATAAAAATATAAGTAGTCCTTGCTTAACAGTCCTAATTGGGACCAACCACTCTTGAAAGAGACAAGACTCCTCAGTTTCATATCTTCGGATTTTGTTTTCCTGTTACCCCCCTACCCTTCCCTTTATAATGCTCAAGTGCCTGCTTATTGTCTTGTCATATTGCAAGTAATGTGATCACAGCACAGCCTGAGGGTGAGAGCCAGATTACGCAAACAATTTATTCTCTTGAAATCTCTTGAAATCTTTCCACTCTGTGATGGGGATGGAAGAAAACAAAGCAAGCAATTTCTCAGTCTCCTTTGCCTGACCCTCCCTGCAGCAGAGGGATCGCAGAGGGATTTCAAGAGAGTAAACTGCTTGCTTTCTACACATCGAGAGCAATGCAACTGCATCTGGTGCTGTGGGAGTCAGGCAAAGGAGAAATTGCCTATAGAAATCTCTTGGTTTCTTTCTCCCCCCCGCTTCACATAATGGAGCAATTAGAGAAGGGATTTCAAGAGCATACTGTAAGCTGTTTGCACATGTCCCCTGTGCTCTCAGCCCTGGGCTACAGGCATGATCACATTGCTTTTGATATGTAGAAGAGCAAAATGGCTTACTTTCTTGCACTCTTCTGTTGGTCACAGGTCATTGTATACCATAATGATGACACATGACTGAGAAATGCCGTGAAGGTCATAAATAGTCATAAGTGAGCCAGAAAGTTAATTTTTCAGTTCCATTGTAAGTTTGAATTATTGATGAATAAATGGTTCATCAATGAGGATCACCTGCATAAAAGCTGTGCTTTTGTTAATAATATCAGCCACTCATAGCTGGTCATGTAGGCATGAACTACAGAGATTTGGCACCTCTAATGTTTGTCTGGAAATTTTAAGAATAATCTCCCATCTTTATTTATAGTAGAGCAGGGGTGTCAAACTCAAGGCCGGCGGGCCAGATCCGGGTGCTTAAATCTGGCCATGGAGCTGCCCTGGAAATAGCAAAAGACCGGCCCACGATGCCTCTGCCAGAGAAAATGTAGCTCAGGAGGGCTGTATGTGGCCCTCCTGAGCTCTGTTATCACTTGCAGAGGGTTGCAGAAGACCATTGCAGCCGAAAACAAAGCTCGGGAGCCCGTTTTCACTGGCAAAGCGCTCGGGCCACCACAAGCGCCCCCGACATGAGTGATGTCAAGCTGGCCATGCCCACTCTGGCCCCCCTGCCCCCCCAGCCCCCTCATCAAACACAACCCTGATGCGGCCCTCAATGAAATTGAGTTTGACACCCCTGCAGTAGAGATTTCATTAAAGCAGAGACAATCAGTAACTTCCCTTCCACCTGGGATTAGATCTGCTTCTTTCTTCATTCTTTTTCAAGCCTTCCTATAGTTTCTCATAAATAAGTAGCTGAAGATGACATGGAACTTCAGAGAAAGAACTTTCCAATCCTGGCATTTGAAATTAATAACCAGATGGCAGCTGGGAAAAATCTGTATATATAGGACAGACCTATAAATATATTTTTAAAAGAAAGCTTGGCTGATTATTATTTGTGATACATTAGACATTTCCTGAGCATCTAAGAGGCTTATAACTATTTTCAATGGTCTGTGTATAACCGTTTGGTTCTGTGAGTGTGTATAAGGCTTGTTTGAATTCATTTTAATTAATTGAAATTGGTTTTTCCCAAAGAATTACATCATCTAACATAGAAAGAGGGCATTTCTATTAAGATTCTTCTCATCAGCTTATTCCACAGTTTCCTTCATAAGTACCAAATGTGTGTTGGTAATTACAGTTATACAGCTGAAAATATACTAGTCCAGAATGTGAGCCTAATTGTAGATTTTATTTAACTGAGCTGTCTTTGCAATTCTCTTCGCTTTTTTGTCTTGTAAAAACAAGATGGCTGTCAAATATGTACCAAACAATGCATCAGTTTCTTAGATTGTAAACTCTATCCACCTCTACTAGATGACAGAAAAGTCTGTGGTTGTTTTGGGTAGCTATGATTTGAGTTAATTATGAACACATAATGTGAATTCTATCACTGAATTTAACAACTCAAGCTGTCATTATGTAAACTGATGGTGAATTTTCCAACTTGTGACATCAACCATAGTGGGCTGTGCCTGACTAATTGGAAGCACAATTCACTTTGATACTGGGAGATTTTCAAGTGTGTTGTCTACAAAAATAAGTGATGTACTTTAAAAAAGATTTTAGTTCAGCCCTCTTGTGATGTTTCCATGGGTATTTGTATAGGGGAAGGCAGAATTGGGAACTTAATTGGGATGTTCTATGAAATATATGCTTCATCTATTTCAACACAGAACATAACTATCATTCTCTTGTTTGTAGGACTGAAATTTTGGTTAAAGATATAGTTTTCCCTAAATTACCTTTATTGCCACTAATACAGAAATGTTACATCATTTCAGCAACCATCTCTTAAATGCTCCAGAGTCAACATTGCTTACAAGAAAATTTAACTTTACTGCATTCATCTTTATAAAATAAGGGGAATTGAAAACAATCAGTACTCAAAATCAATATACAATAATTGGCTTATTATATCAATCAGTGACTGGATAAATCTTCCATATATTAGTGGATGTGCCATCAAGGTGGCTGATTGTAGCTGCAATTCCTCCTCATTTCCTCTACAATTCTATGCAATTAGAAATAAAACAAACTACTTCCATTACATCAAATATGTTGTTCTATCTCATCCAACCCCCAGAAAGGCTGTCTGTGGAAATGTTTAACAACACCAAGCAATCAGACCATATTTTCAGCTAAAAAAAAAGTTTTCTGGAAGGAAAAAAAGTGATTATTGCCTGCTTTATAGACCAAGTCTGGTTAAAAGTATGACACATTTTAAATGGAGAAAGAAAGGTCCTGCAGAAGAGGAGGAGGAGGAGGAGGAGGAGGTGGAGGAGATGGTATTGGTGGTATACTTGAATACTTTTATGACACCTTCCTTCCTGCAAGCTACTGACTAATCATCAAGTGCAAGGCCTTAAAGGCTAAATACAGAACACCTATTATAGAAGATACCTACTCAGTGGTGGGATTCAAGTAATTTAACAACCGGTTCTTGCCCTAATGATTTCTTCCAACAACCAGTTTGCCAAACTACTCAGCAAGTTAACCACCGGTTCTCCCGAAGTGGTGCGAACTGGCTGAATCCCACCACTGTACCTACTCCTGAAGAATGCCAATAAGGATTTAACCAGTCGTATAGTGCCTCTTACTGGCCAGTAACCAATAACATCTAAAGCAGGGGTGTCAAACTCAAGGCCCACAGGCCAAATCCAGCCCATGGGATTCTTAGAACTGGCCCATGGGGTCACCCTGGAGCTTGAGAGATCCGCACTCGCCCCCCCATCTCCATTTTCATTGACAGAGAGCTAGCAAAACAAACTAAAAACAAAACAGAAGGAGAAATGTTTCCTCTTTTGTATTTTGAGCATGCAAGGACAGGAAAGGAGAAAGGGAAAGAGAAGAAGAAAAAAAGAAGAAGGAAAGATGGGAAGGAAGAAGAAAGTAGAATGAAGAGGGAAGGAAAAAGAAGGGAAGGAAGGAAGGAAGGAAGGAAGGAAGGAAGGAAGGAAGGAAGGAAGATAGATTATAATGAGAGTGAGGCAGAGGTGCGTTTCAGGAGGTTCTGACCAGTTCTGGAGAACCGGTAGCTGAAATTTTGAGTAGTTCGGAGAACCGGTAAATACCACCTCTGACTGGCCCCACTTCCATCTATTCTCTGCCTCCTGAGTCCCAGCTGATCGGGAGGAAATGGGGATTTTGCAGTAACCTTCCCCTGGAGTGGGGAGGGAATGGATATTTTACAGTATCCTTCCCCTGGAGGGGGGTGGGAATGGAGATTTTACAGTATCCTTCCCCTGCCATGCCCACCAAGCCACGCCCACCAAGCCATGCTATGTCCACAAAGCCACACCCACAGAACTGGTAGAAAAATTTTTTGAATCCCACAACTGAAGTGAGGGAGGTGTGAAGGAACTCCTGCCTTAAAACTTGGCCACCATAGGTGCCTCCGACACTAGTGATGTCAAGCTGGCCACGCCCACCACACCCACACCCCCCCCAGCCCCCCCAATGTAAAACACAACCTTGATGTGGCCCTCAATGAAATCGAGTTTGACACCCCTGATCTATATGACTCTATGTGACTCATATTGAGACCTAGTTACTTAGATTCAAGTAACAACTAGATTTATTTTCGGGAAGGATTTAATAATGTGGTTACACTGACTCACGTGGTTAGGATTCTGGATAACAGGTTAGCAAGCTCATGTTGGAGATCTGAATGCTGCCGTGGGACAGGATGAGCTCCCATCCCATCCTGCTAGGGACATGAAAGAAACCCCCAATTGGGCATCCTCCAGGCAATGGTGATGTCACCGGCTAATCCTTTGAATCTGGACGCACGAGTGCAGTGCTATGTGGTAACTGCAATTTCAGGAAACAATTATTGCATATAAATTACTAATGCTACTGCCAAGACACTCAGGTCTCAAAATTTACACAATACAGTTGCAAAATTAAAGACAAATCTTTTTTTCACCAAGAAGAATTTCTCCCCTTTTGCATACTCACAACAGAAGCATATTTGAGCACAGCAGTGGCGAAGGTGCATATGCTTTGTTGACTGCTTTCTCACTTAACACTTAAATATTTGCTTTTCAGGCTGTCCTCCCTTGGGTCTTGAAACTTTAAAAATTACTGATTTTCAGCTTCATGCTTCTACAGTGAAGCGATATGGCCTGGGAGCACACAGAGCACGGTTAAACATACAGGTAAGATTATCTTTCATTTTATATATATATATATATAATATATATATATATTATATTTTATATATATATATATATGTTTTTCTTCTAGCCAGGTTTTCCCTATGTAACCAAGGTTTAAATATATATAATTGTCATGTAGATATGTAGACAACATGTAGGCGGAACAGCACTGATCTAAGCTTGGGAGAGTTCCTGCGTGTTGAAAACCCTTCTACAAATGTTATGTTACAAGCAACCATCAACTCCTAAGTTGCTTCTTTATCAGATGCATGGAATGAATTTCCTTCGCACAATTTTCTTAAAAGGGTAGGGAAATCACTCTTTTTAGTTTGATGCTGATCAGAAAGGCTGGCATTAAAATGCACTCTCATAATTCTTTGGTGCTGATTGTATAGATGCTCATAACAAGAAGTGTCCAATTGTGCAGAGTTTCTGGAGCAAAACATCTGCCTTGATTAGAAGTTTGGAGCACCTGGAAAACCCAATGTCAAATCCTTTAATGAACCACTTAGAACTTTCTGAAATAATTATATTTGTGTGCTACCAGAGATTGGATCGATGCTAAGTAGAGCAGCTTCTTGCATCTGCATCTGCAGATGTTCCAGGATTCATAGGAAAATGTGGCATTGCGGTTTTAAAGCCATTCTCAGCGCCATGCTAAGAAATAGATTAGTTTTCATCCTGTATGGCAAGTTATTTATCGGAACAGATTATAAAGAAAGCTCTGAAAATGATGGAAAGGATGAAACTCAAAGCTACTGTGCACTCTAAGAGAACTATAAATATAACATCTTGTTTTTGATTACCATGATATATGCTCTATGGTACATAATGAGTGATCTGCAGCAGAATCTTCTAATTAAAAAAAGGCCAGAAAGAACTATCTAGAACAAAATTTTCTAATTAAATGAGAAAAAAAAAAGGCCAGAAACTTCCATCAGGTTAAAGGAATAATTAAATGCAAGGTAACAAAAGACATTTAAAGGATCATCTTTTTCCCTTCAGATGTCCTGAGATGAAACTTAACCATATGCAATCCTTTTCTGACTGATCTTTTTGCCTTTTGTTTCTGAGTTTTTGCTTTGCTGTTCAATCCTGTCTTCTGTTTAACCATTTGTTCCTGTTACAGACTTCAGCCTTGACCAGTACTTCAATACAGATCCAGGTTTAGGGCGTCTAAGAGTCAATAAACAGGCATTTCTGACCACCAGCCGTGAAGAAGAAAAGGAGGCTAGAATTCGCTATAATTTTACTTGAGCTTACTTTTATCTCTGAACTTATTCCTTTTCAAAAGGCGCCTATTCAGATTTCTAAAGAAAGTTTTGTCTTCTCTTCAGGCAGGTATTAATGAGAATGATTTTTATGATGGTGCTTGGTGTGCAGGACGGAACGATCCCTACCAATGGATTGAAGTAGATGCTCGCAGGCTAACAAAGTTCACAGGAGTTATTACACAGGGAAGAAATTCTCTTTGGCTGTAAGTCAATATATCGCATAATATATTGTGTGCATGCATGCATTTTCTAAGCAAAACCCAGATGTTTTAGGAAAAGTTTTATAATGTAAATAACTGTAAAACTACAATACTTTTAAAACATGGTCAAGTATGGAATTAGCCACATTGTCCTATCTAGTAGGTATGTTGAAAAGCAGTTTCATTAGGACTACTTTTGTCCAGTTATTTCAATGGAGTTCTGCTTTGCTAAATTAAATCTTGGTCTTTTTTCATCAATTTTCTCCACAATCATGGTTAGCCATTTTGGTGACCCTGACAACATTCAGCAGAAAAGTTCTTGATAATTTTCTGTGTAGACTTTTGAATTTCAGAATAGTGTATCCTTACACATTGCTAACGTTAATTTGAGTACAGGTAGTTATCAGCGGAGGGGAGGGGGAATAGTGTGTAAACCACATCTAATGTATCTTTATTTCAAGTATTTCTGAAACAAATGTGGAAGCTCCAATCAACATATCTTGGTCCTGTTATTGATCTGTGACTTCACTAGGCAAGTTTCCTATCTCATTTCCAATTTGGATGGGATTTTGTACCATTCTAGCGTGGGTTTGGGTAATGTGCCCTTGAGGATAAGGTGGCTATTTATTTATTGTTAGGATAAAACGGGACTTCATGCTTTGAGAATATTCTCCAATTTGATGCTGGTGCTGCTTAATTTCAAATTAGCGTCAGAGTTTCTATATTCTATATATCTAATAATTAAGGCAGCCTATTTGAGCATCATGAATATAATTCTACTGGCAATTTATCCCTTTCTATAAACAAAACGTTGAGCATTCCGATACAAGAAAACATTGTTTCTTGTCTTGCCTTTTGGTGTTTTGGTCAAACTATTTTCCAAAGCACCAAAAGGCAAGAAAAGAAACAATGGATGGAAACTAATCAAGGAGAGAAGCAACTGACAACTAAGGAGAAATTTTCCAAAGGTTAGCGCAATCAACCAATGAAAAAGCTTGCCTTCAGAAGTTGTAAGTGCTCTATCACTGGAGGCTTTCAAAAAGAGACTGGACAACTATTTGTCTGAAATGACATAGGGTCTCCTACTCTATTAATCTATGTTATTGCATTTCACTAGGAAAAGTAAGGTAGATTCCTACGCATCAAGCTTTGTGTTAGGTATTAAATCTTTCCAAGCTAGCGTTTCATATGTTGTGCACTGATCCTAGTAAATTTCAATGTGATTTATTCAGTGTGCCTATGTCTCAACAGCAACACATATATATTAATGGCAGATGTACAATGTCAGTTAAAATCCAACATTTAAACACTGTTTAATTGTCAGTTGTCATAGTCTCCTTTTAATGAAGCTCCATTCCAACACTTTTATGTCTGATAAAATGATGCCTCACATTGCATTCTCAAGTTTGATCACTGGAAATTCAAGATAGACTTTTCAGCATGAAGAAAAGCAGCGATAGAAAGCTTCCTGTATTAAATGTTAAACTGTTGCACGTTTATTAAAAGTACATAATTCCTGGCAGGAAAGGTTGACAGCCAAATAGACACTAGATTTTACCAGCAATGTTTGGGGTACAATAAAGCAGTCCCATTCAAAAGAACAAAAAACAGAACAGTGTGATAGCAATGGGTAGATATTGTATGTAGCTTCAGATTTAGCAGCACGAGACAAAAAGCACTGAGAATAATGCAAAGATGCTTTTGCAGAGCCATAAAAGGCCAAAGATACAAAGCAGAATTTACAACCCTATCTTGCGAATATGGAGACAACATAAATATGGAACTAAATTAATATCATCATAGGGTTAGTAGTCACTTTTTCTTTTTGAAGCAATCTGAAAGTATGGAATAGCCTCCTCCTTCCCCCCCCCCGAAAGTGAGAAAGGAATGTCTTGGGGTGTGTATCTGGGTCACAATGACTGTGTGATTCTGTTTTATTTCACCTATAGGCTTTTGTTACAGCCTTTTTAACTGTAATTGAAATACAAAAGGAGAGTGCGGTTTCAGAAAACTGCTAAGAGAAATCAATAGCGGTGATTAGTTAAAACTCTTTTATAGCTGGAATTTTATTCTAAAAGAGTCAGGAGCATTGACATAAATCTAATATACCTCCAGTAAACACAATAATGATAGAAGTGAGTCTCTCTTTCAATTTCCTGGTGCCATATTCTCACTCAGTCCTGAAAGTGATTAAATACTATACTAATTGAAATCAAGACTGCTTTTAAATATTAACTCTATGAAATAACCCACTAAAAGGCAATGGAATGAAGAGCTCTCTATAAAACCATGTAGAACTATGATGGACACGTAAAACAAAACATATTACAAGTAGTCCTCGACTTACGACAGCAAGTGAGCCCAAAATTTATGTCATTAAGTGAGAAATCTGTTAAGTGAGTTTTCCCCCATTTTACGACCTGTCATAAAAATATCCCAATAAAAGAAACAGGAGACAGCAACACAAATAATAATTCTTATTTTAAGATTCAGAGGTTTATTTCATGAGCAATTTGGAACATGAATAGCCATCATAACACAACTTATATCAATAACCCATTGTAATGAGATCCATTGACATAGCTGAGTCCAGCAAGGAGTAACTATAGCCAGTGGCCCTGAACTCATCCCAAGGTATTTTTTTTATACTTTTGTGCACACATTTCACAACTTACTTCCTTGTTCTTTCTTACTGACAGACAGTCTCCAGATATACCCATGTACATCTCAAACCTCTATCCTTTGGCTACTTTCAGTTCCCTATTTCTTGCGGTTTTGTCCTTCTATGTCCAAATATATTTCAAAACTATGTACTTTGCAAAATCCCATTTCACAGCAACGGTTCAGCAGGATTACAAATAGTTCTGATACACTTTATTTATTTATTTATTTATTTATAATGCAATTTATATGCTGCCCTATCTCCAAGGACTCAGGGCGGCTCACAATGGTAAAGATGCACAGTTCCTCATTAAAAAACAATATAAAATTAAAATTCCAATTTAAAACAATTTAAAATTCATTAAGAAACCCCTCATCAGTCCAGGCTGTGGAACAACCAGGTCTTCAAATCGCAGCAGAATGAGCAAAGGTCAGGGGCCATCCAGAGCTCCAAAGGAAGTTGGTTCCAGAGGGTGGGTGCGCCCACAGAGAAAGCTCTCCCCCTGGGGGTCGCTAGCCGACACTGTCTGGCTGACGGCATCCTGAGGAGGCCCTGTCTCTGAGAATGCACTGGGCGATTGGGAATTGTCGCTGGCTGCAGGGGGTCCAACAAATATTCCGGGCCTAGGCCATGAAGGTCTTTGTAGGTAATAACCAGCACCTTGAACCTCACCCGAAGGGTAACCGGTAACCAATGCAGGTCGCGCAGGACGGGTGTAACATGGGAGTGTCGGACGCTCCTATCACAACCCCCACGGCTGAATTCTGCACCAGCTGAAGCCTTTGAGTGGCTTTCAAGGGCAGCCCTACATAGATAGTGTTGCAGTAGTCAAGACGGGAGGTGACCAGTGCATGAGTAACAGTGCATAGGGCATCTTGGTCCAAGTAAGGGCACAACTGGCGCACAAAGCGGACCTGGGCAAATGTCCCCCTGGTCACAGTCATTACATGATCTTCCAGAGACAACCATAAATCCAGGAGGACACCCAAGTTGCGAGCCCTATCCACAGGGGGTAACACTTCACTGTTCTGTCCCCGTCTCCACACACACACAAACACAGCCAGCCGAGGGTTAAGAAAGCACTTGGCATGCACACAGGTCATTATCTCAAACTTGGCAACAATATAAACACCGTCTGCCAAGAGCTTTACTTCAACAGATAACATAAAATTACATACGCATTGTAAATAGTCCAGCAAAACAATATCCCTTCGGCAGCTTCAGATGTTGTTCAAGTGACTAGCCAGAGTTAGTTTTTGTTTGTCACAGAGTTTTACCAGCCACCACCCTCTCTTATATACTCTCTGGGGTATGGTCCAGTGACTCAGTTATAATCCCTAGCATGCCTCCTTAACTGCTGCAATCGTTTATCACACCTTTGTTGGCGTGCATCCAGGAACGACGGCTTTCCTTCCTTGCTCTCATCAGAGACACCTGGCTCCTGGCTAATCTCCTCTTCCTCGGCCGGCACCTGAGGCAGTGCCAGAGGGTAGGGGCCTGGAGAGGGAGGCCTGGCTGACTCCTCTCCCTCATGTTCGGAGCCTTCTTCCTCCGATGAGATAGGCTCAGAGGGCGGGGCCACAACACTCACCCCCGATGGTCAATGATGGAATATCTCAATCGGACCAAGATGCCAGTGCCCACAGCCACTCCGTCTTGGCGGGGTTGAGTCAGAGCCTGTTCCTCCCCATCCAGGTCCGTACTGCTTCCAGGCAGCAGGACATCACATTGAGGGCATTACTGGGCTGGTTTGGGGTGGATATAAAAAGCTGGGTATCATCAGCGTACTGATGATACCGCACTCCAAAACCACGGAAGATCTTCCCAAGGAGCTTCATATAGATGTTGAACAGGAGAGGCGAGAGGACCGACCGCAGGGATACCCTACAAGTGAGGAGCCTCATAGCCAACCTCTGCCCCCTTGCCAACACCACTTGCCTACGGCCTGAGAGATAGGAGGACAACCACCATAGAACAGTGCCTCCCACTCCCAACCCTCGAGCCGTCGCAGCAAGATACCATGGTCGATGGTATCAAAAGCCGCCGAAAGATCCAGGAGGACCAGAACAGAGGAGTATCCCTTGTCCCAAGCCCTCCAAAGATCATCCACCAGCATGACCAATGCCATCTCCGTGCTGTACCCCAGCTTGAAACCCAATTGGTATGGATCCAGGTAGTCTGTATCCTCCAGGGCCAATGGGAGCTGCCGTGCCACCACTCTCTCAACAACCTTCATGACAAAGCGAAGGTTGGAGACCGGACGGAAGTTATCCAGTATGGTTGGATCCAAGGCAGGTTTCTTGAGGAGGAGTCTCACCATCGTTTCCTTCAAGGTGGCAGG